ACAGACACACACACACACCCACACACACACACACACACACACACACACACACACACCCACAGACAGACAGACAGACAGAGACACACACACACACACACAGAGACACAGACAGACAGAGACACAGACAGACAGACAGACAGAGACGCACAGACAGACAGAGACGCACAGACACAGAGACGCACAGACACAGAGACGCACTGACACAGAGACGCACAGACACGCACAGACACGCACACCACGCACAGACACGCACACGCGCACAGACACGCACACGCGCACAGACACGCACAGACAGACAGAGACTCACAGACACAGAGACGCACAGACACAGAGACGCACAGACACGCACAGACACGCACACCACGCACAGACACGCACACGCGCACAGACACGCACAGACACACACACACACGCGCACAGACACGCACAGACACACACACGCGCACAGACAGGCCAGAGACGCGTCAGAGTCCTCAAACACTCACGACTGCATCCTGAATCCACACAGACGACTCTGATCAGAGCTCTACCTGCGTGTGCTGCTCTGTCCGCAGCGCGTGGTTTCCTCTCCGTCGAGCCTTCTCCAGCCGCTCCTGCCGGGCACGAGCTTCCTCTCGCCGCAGCTCCTCCAAACGCTGGATCTCCAGCACTGCGGCCTGTTGAGCGCTCAGCTGAGCCACACAAAACCAGCGCTCACGTTACAACAGCACTGATCAATACGAGTAAGAGCAACATGAGAAAAGCTTGAGGGAATATTCAACACAAGGTCAATGTTAGTTTTGAATGTTACTTAAATTTGTCCCTCCTTTTCTTAAAAAACAAAAAAAGCACAAATCAGTGAGGCACTTATAATGGAAGTCACTGTGGATGATCTGAAAATGTTATCATACGGACCTTTTCAATAGCAGCCACAAGACAATATGAGTGTTAAAATTATGTTAACCAACCTTTAGTGTGGGGAACCTTTTAATAACGGTTTATAATAATGTACTGCTATTTTGGGGAACATAAATGAATAAAACATCTTCCTTGCATCTAGATCATCTTTAACTAGATTTTACTGTAGTTTTATCCTTGCATTAAACATTTAGAATCTACCTCAATCAGAGGTAATGCTCTGCTATAATGAGAAATATACTGAACACAAAAGCTCAAAAACACCAAGTATATTTTTCTTTCATGTCATAACCTCACGTCTGTGGGCACTGCTCATGCATGTACCTGCTGCTCGGTGTCGGCCTCTCTGTCCACAGCCGTTTGTGTCATGTGACAGTGTGTGAGAGAGAAACGCTCTGCTGCCGCACACCTGAGCGGACGCGGCGTCTTCTTCCCGATGCTCTGAGAGAGGAAACATGACAGTAATGAGGACACGTGCGGAGCGCTCTGTAACGGCTGATCGTGTAGAGAGCAGGCTGTACCTCCACTGGGTCTGGAGGAGGCGCCGGCAGACTGGCCACTCTCTCAGCTCTCCTCTTCTCCTCCAGCAGAGCGTTCCTCCGCGCTTCAGCGTGCCTGTTACCACAATCAACTACAGCTTACACCTGATCATGACAGCTACTTGTGCAAACCCAGAGCATGAAGAGAAATGTGTGCAGACCGGCGCTGCTGCTGCTCTTCCTCATGTCTGCGTGCGCCGAGCTCTCTCAGAGCCTCCCGATGTCTCTCCTCCGCACGCTCCCGCCTCTCCACACTCCTCTGAGCCAGCGCCTCCAGATCAGGCTCCTACACACACACACACCCCACACACACACCACACACACACAGCACACACACAGCACACACACACCCCACACACAAACACACCCCACTTAAAGGACAGTTAACCGAAAACAGGTGATCTGCAGTGAATGGGTGCCGTCAGAATAAGAGTCCAAAAAGCTGATATTTGTTTCTTTCAAACACGCAGCTTTTCTGGAGTGCTGTGGACTATTGTGATGTTTTTATCAGCTGTTTGGACTCTCGTTCTGACGGCACCCATTCACTGCAGAGCACCCATTGCTGAGACACACTAGATCTGATGAAGAAACAAACTCGTCCTGATCTCGGACGGCCTGAGGCTGAGCACATGTTTGGGAGAACTCTTCCTCTAAAGGAACGGACTGAAACAGACAGACTCTTCAGTGTCCCTGACCACTCTGATGTCCACTGGCTGACTCACATTCTCCCGAGCGCTGCGGTGTCCGTGTCCGACAGCTCTCAGGCTGTGCTGGTAGTGTGTGGATAAGGCCTGCAGTCGGCGCGTCTGCTGCTGCTGCCACTGGAGCTGCAGGGAGTCTGCGAGCGTCTGCATCTGCTGCTGTCTGCGCTCCTGCACCTGCGTGCGCACCTGCCGCGCGATGAAGCGCTCCTGCTCACGCACCTGCACACACACACAGAGACAGACACACAGAGACACAGAGACACACACACACACTCACACACACACACACACACACACACACAGACAGAGACTCACTCACTCACTCACACACACACACACACACACTCGCAGAGAGAGACTCACTCACTCACACACACACACTCGCAGAGAGGCTCCCTGTGTGTGCCAGCCAAGGCAGCTCTAAACAGTAACGTTAACTAAAGGAGAAGCCGCTAGCAGTAGACGCGGTATCCTCTGACCTGCTGTAGACGCAGTGTCCTCCTCCTGTGCAGCTCGTCTCTCTGCAGCTGCGCCTCCTCGTTGGGACTGGGCCTCAGACTCACCCGTCCCCTCATCTCTTCATCTCTCGCACACACAGCTCTTCTGTCCGACACTTCCGGCGCTCGGGCGGAGCACAGGCTTGCTCGAGCGGCTCTTTGTCAACAAACTCCAACGGCTCCTTCGAAGCCGCGTCACTTCCGCTATTTAAACCGCCCTCGGAACGGCGAGCGTTGTTGGCTTGAATTATTTATTTATTCACGAAACATACAGCAAACATTAATGCGTACGAGGGAGATAAAGTGCAACTGTTATTGTAAATATAAAAAAAACACTATTTCCTAAAACTCGTTTCAACTTTGACCCCCCGCCCAGTGTTGCCAGGTCCGCGGGTTTCCCGCGAAATTAGGCTACTTTAGCACTTTAGCCGCGGGTTGAAGCGACCCCAATAACGTGATATTTATCCCCTCGAATGTGAATTTTACCAGGGGAAGAAAAACGTGTATTTTACCCCCCGAAACGCGGTTGGGATAGTTTTGAGTAGCAGTTGTGCGAGGTTTGTAGAGAAAATCTGGCAACCCTGCCCCCGCCAAGCCTCGCGAGATCTGAGCACGCTCTCGTTCGTCCAGCAGCGCTCGAGAGTCACAAACACAGAGCAGCAGCAGCAGCAGCAGCAGCAGCTAGATCAGGTGTAAGTGTGTAAGTATGTCTTCACAGCTCGTCTCTGGCCTGCCCGGGTCTCGAACACAAGCTTGTACTCTGAGCTAGACTCTAGGTCACGGCTCTGCAGCTCTGATCAGATCAGAACATCTGCACTCATCAGCTCGTGGCGTTAAGTGTTGCTGCGCAGAAATGAACGTGTGTCTGCATGTTTGTCTTGTTTTCTGATATAAATATCTACACATCCTTAGCTCGAGGTGCTCAGTAAAGATTGGTCAGTAGAGAGAGATGTGTGTAAATGCTGAAGATGTTAGGATGTGTTCTCCTCAGACAGGCAACTCACTGATGTACGGTGTTCCCTTCTGTTTATTCCTTACATTCTCTTTAACAGGTGTTACAAAGTCTTTCATTTACCTTCATAAAACTTCCAGAAACCTAATTCTGGTATGACATTACCAGAATTAGGGTTAGGGTTAGGGTTAGGGTTAGAATTACCTAACCCTAACCCTCAGACAGCATAGTAACCCTGTGTGTGTGTGTGTGTGTGTGTGTGTGTGTGTGTGTGTGTGTGTGTGTGCGTGTGAGAGTGTGTGTGTGTGTGTGTGTCTCTGTGT